TCACACGTCACAGTCTGAAGACGTCACAGTCTGAAGACGTCTTAGAGAAGTCACAGTCTGAAGACGTCTTGAAGAAGTCACAGTCTGAAGACGTCACAGTCTGAAGACGTCACGCCTGTGTGTCCTGGTTCTACAAACATTTCCTCTCTGCTCTCTCTTCATCAGCAGCTGATCTGCACGTTGCTGCGTCTGACACACTGACTGCTCTACTGTTGACGTGAAGCCTAAATCTACTGTGTGTGTTCTTCCATCTCTGTGAGGACCATCGAGACACCCTCAGAGTGAGGACACTTTGGTGGTCCTCACTTCCTGAAAGGGCTGCTTGAGGGTTGAGACTTGGTTTTAGAGTTAGACTTTAGGTTTGGGATCAAGGTCTTTGCACATCAAGTCCGTATTTTTCAACTGAAATTGAAACGACTTCGATCACGTTTACACACCGACTTCGAAAACTTTGTCCTCCAAAGTAGTTTGAGTCGTTCAGGATCAAGTGAATCAGAGACGAGTTTCTCTTCTCTCGGTCTCAGATCTGGTGTCAAACTGATCCACTGATGATTGGGATCATTGAGCAGCTCCTCTTGTTCCTGAGTCAATGTTTTCTCTTTTCACTGCTCCATTTAAAAAACATGACACACGATTCAGTGTTCAGGTTTCTGAGCGTGACGGAAGCGTGACGGAAGCGTGACGGAAGCGTGACGGTGTGTAAAGACCTTTGAGTTCTGAGTTGTGATGGTTCAGGTTATGAAGGGAATGAATTACACAGCTACTGTCCTCACTAAGACAGAAGCACAAGATTCCATGTATGTGTGTGTGTCTTGTAGCAAGGCCTCAGTTGAACCGTTATGACGTCACCGGTGTCGATCACAGCCACAGCTGGACGACGACTTCCACATCACAACACGCATCACAACACGCATCACAACACGCATCACAACACCTTCGCCACCAAAGCTCCTGTTCCCTGCATCATCGCCTGTCACACCCAGAAGTGTTGCTAGGCTACATGGGCCCCACGTGGGCTGCAGGCGCCACTTAACGCTGCTGGTGTGTGCTCGGGGTTCAGAGGTCAGCGGGGGGGTCACCACATTATGAATAAACCTTTACAGTCATTAGAATGAAACAGCTGTGACTGTAAGTCTTCACACACCAAGTCCAAAAGTGTCTCACGTTAAAGTAAGTTCCACCTCACCTTCTCCCAAAGTGTCAAAGTTTTACCAACTGGTTCGAGTTGAATTTAAATCTTTGGGTCTTGAAAGGTGCGTTTATAAATTCAAGTTAAAATTATTAGACTTGTGGATACACAACATGTCTCCTCATCTTCATCAGGACAGAGGACGACTTGTTGACATCGATGAGACAAACTGGATAAACTGTGACTGATTTAAAACATGAATAAAACAGACTTGGTGTGTGAAGACGTTCACAGTGTGGGGGGGGGGGTTAAAGTGCATTAAATAGCACTGAGAGATGAAGATGAAGACTGTGGATGAACGGATGAATGATGAACGGATGAATGATGAATGAATTCTTGGCAGGTTCAGATTAGTCATTTACCAGCCCTTAGGGGAGTTGTGGGGACACAGACCGTTCATCATGGAGACTATTGAAGGACATGTCTGCAGGGCCCCTGGTAGACATGAAGGGACATGTCTGCAGGTCCCTGCAGGACATGTGGGGCCCTAATGGACATGTCTGCAGGGCCCCTGGGGACATGTGGGGCCCCTGGAGGACATGTAACTCCAGTCCAGGTCAGTCCTCCTGCTCCTCGCTGTCCTGTCTCGTCTCTGTCCTCTTCTCTTTGTGACAAGTGAAAATCCGTCTCATCTCCTCCTCGTAGCGGAGGAAGTTGTCTCCGAAGCGGGCCCAGGCCTTCAGCGGGACGGTGATGGTGTTCCGGTACGGCTGCCGGACCTCGCTGATCTTCAGGAACACTCCGAACCTGTTGGACCCGACGTCAAAGTAGAACCTCTTGTTGTCCACGCGGAAGGACGCGGCCTCGGGCAGCTCGGGGCTTTCGTCCTCGTCCTCGTGGTTCCGGGAGCCGGTTCGGCCGCGCTCGTCCCCGTCATCGTCCCCGTAGTCTTCAATAAGCTGCGACAGCGCGTCCCGGAACTCGATGAGGCCCTGCGCGGGCAGCACGATGGTGTGTTCGATTCCCTGGCCGTAGTAGCCCATGGTGCCGTGGCCCTTGCTCACCGTCTGGCGGATGCGCAGGAAGCGGCCGCGCTGGTTCTCCTTCAGGTCCAGGAAGTACTTCCGGTTATCGCGCTCGATCAGCTCGCTCTTCAGCACGCGCTGCGCGTGCTCGTCGGACGCGGCGGACCCGGCGGGAGACAGCGGCGCGTGCTCCTGCGCTCTCCTGCGGGGCTCGTGCACGCGGCCCTGTCCGTTACTGTGCGGCTCGTCGAGCGGCGCGAGCCCGAGGCCCCGGAGCCCGATGCGCGCGTAGTAGTCGATGAAGTCCCCGAGGCAGCCGCGCAGCGCCGGGGCCGCGGACATGGACAGCGTCAGCTTGCTCTTCCGGATGTTGTCATGGCGGCCTCTCCCGATCCACACCTCCGCGATCTTCAGGAAGCGGCCGCGCACGCTCTGCTTCACGTCCAGGTAGAAGCGCTTCTTCTGGATGTCCACGCGCTTCGACGCCAGCTCCTGGATGTCGGAGCCCGGAGGCTGCGGCTGCTGCTGCGGGGGAGGGAACGCTGCTCTGGGCACAGACTCCGAGGAAACCTTCGCTCTGCCGCGGTCCATCGCTCTGCAGCAGCCGTCAGCGGCCATCATGTTAGATTCCTCCAGCAGGACAAAGACTGTCCGCCATCACACTGTCACACAACACACAACACAGCAACACGGTTAATATACACACACACAC